ATGCTGCTGAGAGTATGAAAAGACAGTCACTGGGATAGAAAACTGTAAGTCCTAAGATAAGACACTTGGAAACTTGACCACCTTAGTGTCTGAAAAGGAATTTCAAAAATCCCATCAAGAAATGTGGAGGATAGAGGTTAATTGTGACTAATTTTCCTTCCACCAAATGCATTAATTAACCCACAAGAAGTGATTAAGGAAACCAAAGTCGGATAAATGCAAGGAGCTACCAGACGCCAGCTGGAATTTACAACAAACAGACAAACAAACAAATAACTGAGCCCAAAGGAAGAGCAACTGTAGTTTATATTTTCATCCTTGGTATTCAGCATTGGCTTTTCCCACATCTCAGTCTTTGCTGAGCTTCTGCTTTGGCTTCATCTTCAGACAGACCTGTAGTAAAGAAAGGTCCCCTAATACTGGGTTTCTGTGCAATTACAACATCAGTACTCTGATGAAGTCTATAACATGGACAGAACGCATGGCCAGGCATGGTCTCTGGTGCACGCTTGTAATCCAGGACTCAGGGACACTAAGAAGGATCATGAGTTGAAAGTCAGCCTGGAGATGTGCAGCAAAGGCGTACATTACATATTCTTACCTATTTTAAACAAATACTGAAATTCCTTTGTGCACAGTTTTTAAAAATAGATTTAGTATTTCTTACATAACAGAACTTTGAGCAAACTTCCAGAAGTGTTTTCTAACTCCAAAGTATAATTATATTATTATTTTTAGAGAATTATTAAATATTTTTGGAAAGTGTATTGGAATTGGAATTTGATTCTAATTTACTACCAAAATCTCATTTTAGCATCTAGCATCTCATTAAAAGAACTTTTACTCCTAAAAGATTTTACTGAATTTCCCTTAAATAGTATGCTCTTAGTTTGTGTATACTTAATTTGGTATTATTTTAGAGCGCCTTCTGAGCTTCAAAATTAACACCTAGTATTATTTTTTTCCTAATTCAAAGTATTCGTACTGAAATTCAAATTCAAAAATTTAAAACTTTTTATTCCTGTGACTCCATGACCTATTACTTCAAGGAGTTGAAATGCCTGTGGAGGCCACAAGAAAGCATGTATCACCTGCAACAGGAGTTACAGAAGATTGTTAGCCATCACGTAGGTCCTGGGAATTGAGCCCAAGTCCTCTCCAAGAGCAACCAGTGCTCTTAACCACTGAGCCATCCCCCCCAGCCCCAAAGGATATATTTTTGAGCAAACAGTATAGAACACGGTATGCTCCCTGCATCCAAATTGCTTTACATCACATTAAAGACCTTCATCTTCTAGAGAATTAACTCTTTGGTCTGTGAAAGTGTCTGCTTGGAAATGTTAGATTCCATAAAATATTTGGAATGTTTTTCAAGATCCTGATGCCAGCATCCTGTCCATAGCAACCTGCCTGCTTCTTTCAGCTTAATACATAATACTTTGCTCTATTGCAAAGCTTATTTCACAGGTGTACTGCTTTGGAAAACAGCAACTAAGCAATCTTTGGTAAAATCAATAAAGTTCTCAAATCTACAATATTTGATTGATAAAGCAAGATGATCTCAAATATACATAGAACCTTCCCAGAAGGCTGCCTGTTTTCTCATTTTAATCTAAACTGAAAATTTATCTTGTCTTTCATGAAGTATTCTCATTTGTGTGTTAAGAACAATCATTTTCATTCCTTTTCTGTCCTTGAATGTCATGAAAATGAAGACTGTTGCGGTCGTTAGGAGATTGGACATTTATTCTTCCCTCTCACTCAATGTTCATAGACAATGTCTTTAATATTAGGAAGTCTGGAGGTCAGCTGCCTCCTGCCATGAGGGATCTCAAAGTCCTTCTGGAGCCACTCGCAGATTCTTCCTCAAGTGACCCGCGCACCCCGTCAAGATGTGCTTGAGAAAGAAGGCCAAGGGTGGAGTGGAAGATGAATGACTTGTTTCTTTTTGTTTAAGATTTTAAGACTGGAGTAAAACTTCTGCTCTGATCTAACAAATAAAGCTAAGAAAGTTTACAAATGTAATGCTAGGAGACTGTGAATAAAAACTCAACTAGAGCAACTCTTTTCCATTGCTGTATGTTTTGTATTAATAGTTATGCCACACAATTATTTTTTTCCAGAAAATTGTGTTTAGTTATTTCTGGTCCTGTAGAATTATATTGGTAGAAGGAAGGAGATGCTGTGTCCGATGACCTATCCAAACTGTGATACTTTCTACAGTTATATTTTAAAGTCTGTTTACAGCCACAGTGACATTTCTGAAATCGGGCTCTCGGGAGTCTTTACTCGATCTGTGTTAAATGCTTTATCTCTTTCATTACCAACGTCATCATGTTGTGTCCATGAATCATCTAACCTCAGCAGCACTGCCTGAGATCATTTCCACGGCACCCTCTACACATATTCTTTGCCTTTGTTTTCTTAAAAATAACTGGAACGCCGCAGGGGGTGGTAATATTCCTCACAAGAGCCATAGAGAACCTAACAAAATCCCCCATTACAGACATGGGAAACCTCCCTTCAAGTTGTTGGTCAGGGTAGTCAAAGAGACTCCCAAAATAATATAGACTAGTGCCTTGGTTGCCTCCCAGAACTTGAAGGTTAAGACACCACACACTTTGGACACAGTAGTAGAACTGGAACTAATCTCAGTCTCCTCCCCAAGGACCAGCTCTCATAGCATCCAATGGTGCTATGCAAGCTGCCAAGGGTAAAAAACAATTACTAATCCGACCTAGCTGTAAAGCCTTTGAATCACAACAGTTAACTCACAGATAAGCATACTTCTACCTTCAGCAAAGAAGCTTATTTTTTCAACAGATGGAAACCATTATAGAGAGCCACGACTGGTCAAAACCTAGAGAATAAGTGACCATGGAGTGCCCAGTGTCAACTGACATATCTACAGTGCAATCCCTACACCTAAGGCTCATGAAACATGGCAGAAGGGAGGCTGAGATGCAAGAGCCAGAAGACCAGGAAGCCCGCTGCTGAGTAGGGTCTTCCAGACATGACAGGGAAGCCCCACCCAAGAAATTTCAACAAGGTTGCCTAAACAAGGCCTGCATAAGGTCAACAAGACTTGACACACCACTGTGAATGGGAGAGATTTTACAAGGTCCTACCTCTAGATGAAGAGCTATAGGGAGTCGATGGTTGCAGAGAGAGAGAGAGAGAGAGAGAGAGAAATATGAGAATGAATATCAATTTGGGGACAAGCTCCTTGATTCCTTAGCCAATATCAAGTGTCCTCGCTAAACGCATGTACATACAAGCAACACTAAATGGATTCGGTAGGTCATACATATATATATATATATATATATATATATATATATATATATAGCAATAATAATGAACCATTATGTGACCTAGAGGTGGATGTGGGAGAAGTTGAAGGAGGGGACGGAGGGAGGACTGGAAATATTACATAAATATAGTACTTACTCATGAACAAAATCCTCAAAAAAAAATTTTAAAGAACTGAAATGTTTTGGAATGTATTTCTGAGATCCTTTATAAAAACGTGAATAAAAGTTGATACTTTGTGAAACATAATTTGAAGTTAAAACCCCTGCATTTGGACCCATTATGCGGTTGTTGTCAGAAGAGAAATAATAGCTTATATGCTTAAATATCTATTAGGATTAATAAGAAAAAGATTAAAAGGGAAAGGAAACTGGCAAGGATTAGATGCAAAAATTTATACAGAGCTTAAATTATTCAAAATTCATGGAAATTCTAATTAATTCACATGAAAATACGAAAGCAGCAATTTTTGCCTGGCAAATAGCAACAGATCCTTGGTAAACATTTATTTACTAAATGCTAAGTGTTTCCTACCCATCAAACTGGAAGAGAATTTTGAAAACACTACAAGCCACAGGACAAACAGCACATGGCATCAGACAGCAAATTCAAACTAGGGATGCAAACACCTGGGTTCAACATTCTTTTTCAAAAACAGCTTATCGTTTTGAATTAAACTAAAAAGGTAAAACATTTTATACCAGAAGATAGCCACTGCCACTTAAAAAAATCACAACAGTGTTATGTAAAATGCAAAAGAAAATATTCCGAGCTATATCATTGCAGCATTCAGGATTCAGAATGCAAGAATTTTATACTGAAATATATGTAAATGTGCATGGAATCCAAACACACATTTATTCTCTCTCACGCCCCTCCTGCAGCATGAGCACACATCAAAGTACAAAAAAGTCACCAAACAGGTATTCTAAATAAAGTCAGTGGACTGAAGTGGGGTTTCCCCTTTCCCAACAGCCTTCGCGCCAAGAACAGTAAAAGATGCTGAGAAGGAAGAAGGCTCTCTGATCCATCCTGCCACATTTCTGACGCTCCCCAAATTCATTCTTTTCCTCCTCTACAGTTTATCTATGTTGCCCAGAAACCACTGGCTTCCTGGAATTTTTAATAAGAATTCCACATTCTCACCATGTTTCTTAGCTACTGTGGCCTCTGCCAATAAATCCTAATAAATTTTCACTTCTTTTCTTTCAATAACATCCTAGAGAATATGATTCAGACTCAAATTAATCACCGATCATGTTAATGGCTCCTAGGTGTTAACTTCTGATACCCCTTATTGTATTAAATCAAACTTGATAGTGAGCTAGATCATTGTTCCGTTGGGTTTTGACAAAACGCACTGGTGTTTAATATGATTTATACCTAGTTTTCTCCTCATATCTCTGCTTATTGTGAGCCCTAGATTTAGAACAGACATCCTTAGCAAATGGCAATCCTTTATTATCTGTCACACTTCTAAAACATTTTATAGAAAATTTTTACAGTAAAATACGTCACATTTTTATTATAGTCACACAATAGTGAGCAGGAACAATTTAGCTTACAATCAAAATATTAAGATTTTACTGTAGTTTTTAAAAATTATGTGTGCATATGTATGCTTTGCTTATTTAAGAGATATCTTGCATAGCAATACTTTCACGAGACAACGTTTTACCCTTTTTAAGCTTTGCAGCAAAGGGGCAGTTCTCGGAAAACCCTTTGAAGCACACGCAGAAGATATAGCAAGCGTGGCGAGTTTCATTGAGACAAAGCTTGTCACATGCTACCTACGGATGAGGAAGCCTGACCTTGCCCTGAGTCACGCACACAGGTAAAATGAAGTACTAATGTCTGTAAGTAAGAACAGTTGGTGCAAGCAGAGAGTACTAGCTGAGCTTATCTGATCACCTTCCACCTTATTTCAACTTAAAGATGAAACAGAAATGATATGTACCACTTAAATTTTTGCAAGCTAAGCGAATCATAGAGCCAACAAAGGGGATCTCAAAGGCCAGAGGGAGAAAGAAGGAACTGTTCATAATGCAAGGGCAAAATAAAAGGCAAATAATGAGTAAGGAATTGTTGCAAGAAAACTAAAATGAGAACATGGTAAGTGAGGGAGATGATGGCGAAGGGTGAGATGGGTTTTTTTAACTGCAGAAATGATGGGGATCCGGCAGAAATTCTGACTGTAAAATATATGCCGAGACCTCAAAGTTCATGGCGTATTTGATTATAACATGCATAGCTGATTCAAAGGATGCCAGCATCCTTCAAACAGCTTTCTGAAGGTGTGAAATATTATTATCTATGTCCTTGAAGATTTTCTTTTTATATTCATGTCCTTCTTGAGAGTTCAGTCTCATTGTTAGGACATGGCTTTCTAGAATTCCCCAAGGCATGTGGCGTACCTCTCCCACTATGAAAGTGGAGCTGTCCTATTTCCCAAAGGTCTTACTCCCATGAGTAATAATCCATTTTAATCTGTAGCAAGAGAAATTGATCGTGTTGTTTTTCAACCATTCCTTTTCTTGAAGTGATTACTCCCCCTTGCCTGATTTTCCTGTGCTATTCCCCTTTCTAATCTTACATCCTTATACTTCCTTTGAATACAAATGGCAAAACTATTGTCATATGAAAGGTGAATGGTTGCTTCATTAGTAGTCAATGGAAACACAATTATCAATTATATACAAGCCCGTGTGTGAGCAGGAGATCTGCCAACCTAGGAAAAGTCATTTACAAACCCACATCAACTCGGATATAAAAGTCGTGCCCAAGAATTTTCACAGCCCTAAGAATGGGCCTGACCTGACATTAAGGAACTTCAGACAACAATAGCACTTTGAAACTCACAGATAACCTTCTTGAAAGAAATTCTAGCAGGTAGTTAAGCCACAGAATCTAAAGATATAATCTCTTTAACTCTTTAACCCGCCCAAAAAAATCCTTCCTTCTCTCATATATTCACATTTTATGCAACCATAGTTCCAATCTAATATCAGGACACGAGCTCTGTCGAAGAATTTTGTTCTATTTCTATTTCAAAGAGGGATTACTGGAAAGGTAACACGTATTTCAACATACCAAAAATATTGGGATGTTCAGGTTATTTGGAAGTACAATGTGGAAAATTCGTTAAAATCAAGACTAGTTTTCTAGAAAATCTATGGGCATATGTAAGGAGTAAGTTGAGATGCTCTGAAAATAACTATATGACCCCTCCTTTGTGACCTTAGAACCACCAAGATAAGAAATATCTCTTGTAAGTCAGAATGGATTGATGGGATTTTAATTCATATTTAATAATGAAAGTACCTTGTGTAGTATGGTCATGTCAAAATTCAAATCAGTTTATTAAAACGTGTAATGGGAACAAAGGGTCAAGAATCTCTCTATAATTCAAATGAAAGAACGATAGGCAACAGCTCCCAAAAGATGCAAGAACCTGCTTCAGAGTAAGGCGTTTTCTGTTTTAATACTGAAAATGCTGTTTCAAGACCTTGAAAAGTACTGAGGGAGAAAAACATAATGATGAGTAATCATATGACAGTCTCTGTTATGTTGGAATTAATTTTTGCATACTTCTTTCCACTGTAGAATAGCTTTTGTTTCTAGTTCTAAAGGTGAACAGTAATTAATAAATGCAGATCACCAGTGGTTAAACGATCAACTTATACAATTAAGATAAATCTATTATTTTTCTGGGCACGTCACACTGCAGAATCACAGAATCCAGAATTTGTGATTTTCATTATAAAACATTTGCAAAGACCCCACGTATTAAAAAAAAACAGAGTCTGAAATATAATCAATAAAGACATTTCAGAAAATTAATTAATCAAGATATTTAGTTTATAAATAGCTTACAACCATTAGTTATACTCTGCAGAAGTCGGCATTGTATTATTGCCACAATGCAATAGTTGATACTAATCATGAATCAAAATTAAAATATTCCTTTTTGCATTTGCATTTGCTGAAGCATCCTTTCTTTAATTTTATGTAAATGGAAAGTCTATTCCATATCTTTAAGAATCTTGTTAAACACAACAAAATGGCTTCAAAACCATCAGGTAGTTTTGTTTCTGATAAGAATAAATGCATATTGTTTTGTGATGGAGAAGACTACAAGAACTGTAACTATTTGATATCAAGATCAAGAAAATACATTTGGAAATCAATCAGCATGTATTGTTAGTTAAATAGTGTGGTACAAAGGCTCTAGAAACAACTATTATCAAAACTGACTTTTTTCCTCTTCTTCTAACAAATACAAAAAGACAAAAATGGATATCGGGTTTTTTTCTTCAACCAAAAGTGATGCCTAGAATTACCAGAAGCATCAACATTGCTCACTGCATCAAGCCAGAGCCATTGATGACTAGAGGCTGCTTTGAAGAACCATGAAGCCGGTTCCTAATGATGACCATCCTACAAAAGTCCTGCTACAACTTCTTTCCTATTATATAATCATATTTTGATATGCCTAACTGTACAAGCATATCACTTTTCTGTGTTCCACAGTTAGTTTTTGTTTGTTGCAGAATTTTGTTGCCATGACGCAGTAGAAAAGATGACCACTAACATTCCACATATGAGGAAAAGGTTCAAATTTTAGCATTCATAATACACTTACCTTTCTATCCAACAAGTACTTATTAAATCCTTACCAGAAAGCTTTTCCTGTGATAGACAATGGACAGACTGCTATAAACAGGAAACACATGGTAATTTTATGATACAAAAGCAGCACAGTATCCTGAGCCAAAGCACAGAGTCTGGACCCTGGCTACCTAGATTTAAAAACCGACTGTCCCTCTCACAGTTTAGCTTGAATCTAACTTTTTATAAGATTAGGTTATAGTAACAGTATGTAGTTCACAAATATTATCTCACACTGTTTTATGAATAATTATGAATCCATGGACTTTTTATTCCAGCCACGGTAACGTTACTGGTACTAAATCTACTTTCCTATTGTACACAACTATAAAACTCAACAAGATGCTTGAAGCAGTCATTTTCAGGAACTGACTGTAGGAAACCAGGATGCCAGGCCCTAGGGTGAAGTGAGCCTAAAACTTTTTTTTTTTTCCTGGTCTTTGTGAGACAGGGTCTCCCTGTAGCCCCAGCTGTCCTGGAACTCACTACGTAGACCAGGCTGGCCTTGAACTCACAGAGGTCCGCCTGTCTATGCCTCCCGAGTGCTGGGATTAAAGGTTTGCGCCACCACGCCCAGTGAGCCTAAAACTTTTATATCCAGTATGCATTCTCTGCTAAAGGGAGGGAGGCTGAAAACAATGGCTCTAATAATCCCTGTCTTGGAGAATATTGTAAGACTGCCAGGAGGAAGCGGCCTGGTCATAAGTGCAGGCTCCCTGCTCTATGGAAAAGCGTCAACAACCCTTAGCTCATCTCCTTGTCCTGAACAAATAACTCAGCTATCCTTAGCTAAGAGATTAGGCCAGGTTAAAGGTTTACTCTTGAGCTAAAAGCAAAACGTTTACCATGCTTTTAACTCTAAGAAAGAAAACATTATGGCCAATAAATTACCAGATGGGCATTGATAACTTTGAGTAAAAGCTTAAGCATCCTTCTAGCACCAACTAACAGACTAAATGTCCTGTTTCTTTGTACCCTAAATCTCTGTATGTGACTGCCATATCCCACGTGACTGCCAGTTCCTTTGGATGTATAAAAACCCATCTGAATTTTAAAATAAACAGCTTATTAAAAAGACACAAGTCCCAGGGTCCAAGACCTTGTCGCCGACCAAGCCTCTCTGCCCCAAAGCCAGTAGGTACCCCGCTGCAAAGCAAACCCGAGTCCTGACAACTGACCACTTTTCAGAGCAGGAGAAGGAAATGCACAATTATCTCAGCTTTTGTTGGCTTATTTTCTTACCCTACTTGTGGTACCACATCAGACCTTTTGTAGTTTTGCTGAGTTGAGGAGGCCAAGATCTGAACACTCTGCTGACAAAACAGCTGTCATTTACAGGCCAGTGACCAAGGAGGCATGACAGGTTTGGGGGACAGAGTCTGTCTGAGGATTCATTGCAGGTCCTTGGCCAAGGTCTGAAATGTGCATATGAGGAGTAAGTGTCCATGCAGCACAGATTTCCTGCTAAAGAACTGGTATCAGTTGGAAGTGCTAAATGACCTGTACTGCCTAGACATGCTGGAATATCAAGTGGAGGAGACCTAACAGCACATGCTATACACTAACCTGAGATCCAGAAATGACATACTTTAAGAATCAGGACCTGCAGAAAGGAATTATCTCAGGGTTACATTCAAAGCCAGAGTTGGCCTGCTCTAATAAAGAATAAGTGTGATAAGGGAAGAGTATCTGCCATTTAATCCCCTAACAGAAAACAAACAAAACAATGCTTGGCAGTCCTTCAGGAAAGGGTCATCTTCCTGAGCCCCTAGAAAGCTTCATTAAGATGTGCAGCATAAAATTTAAAATTACCATATATGCAAGGAAATATGAAAATTAAACTGATACTTGAGAAAAATAATCAATCCATGACAATAGTTCCAAGATGACCCAGCTATGGTAATAACTAGATGAGGATTTTAACAATGTCATTAAAAAAATATATTTAAGAGCTCTGAGACAAAAGTAGCTTTAACTAGGGAAGAAAGAAAAGCTTAGAAAACTATACACAAGGCAAAATGGAAATTTGGAATAGATTATAGGTAATATCTGAGGTAGAAATGTTTATTGATTGCTTTTTATCCTCAGATTGGAGACTGCTAAAGAAAGTAAGTTGGAAAACAAATCAGTAGAAATTACCCAAAATGAAGAACAGAGAAATGGAGG